CAGGCAATTGTGCAATTATGTTCAGTTACTGGAAAAATGCTAGCCTGTATTCAAAAGCAGTTTTTATAGCAAAGAAAAAAAATTTCATATTCAGAAAAGCTTAAAATTGGGATTTAGTTTAAAATTCTTATTTGTCATTTCTTTGAGAAAAGATGAGATATGAAAGCAATACATTGACATCTCAGTACTAGTTGAGGCAGATTCCTTGAGTTTCTAACTTAATGTGCTTTAACTTAATCACGCATGGAATCTGTTATTTTTTTCTGAAACTTAAGTCTATCAGAGGTTGACAGCATCTCTTGGTTGAAGAAGCTTAAGAAAAAGATTAAAAACAGTAATAAAAAAATTTAACTCCTTCATGTGCCAGATTATTTTTTAAAGCATGGAGTGGAAGATGGGAACATTATTTTAAAAAAATATTTTTTGTAGTTGTAGATGAACAGAATGCCTTTATTTTATTTGTTTATTTTTATGTGGTGCTGAGTATTGAACCCAGTGCCCCTAGGCCATGCTAGGCAAGCACTTTGCCACCAAGCTACAGCCCAGCCCTGGGAACATTTTTCATACATTTCAAGAAGTGTAATTTCTATTTCTATACTCTTTTCTCAAGTAAACTTTGAATGCAAATTTAGAGTTCATGACCACAGTAAGTAATTCTTCTAAAAAGAGTTATATTGTAGCCCAGTGCCTGAAAGATGGATACATTTTCTAAGCTAAAGCCAAACTATCTGACCACAGGTATGTTTGTCATGTCCAATTGATCAGATGTCTTCTTGTCTTCAATTTAGCTACTTCTTAGTATCTTTTATGCTACTAATGATACGGAGTAGAAAATTGCTCAGGGATTGGAAAAACCTGATATGGTGATTTAAGTGAGACTGAAAACTACTGTGGATGTTTCAAGGGGCATTCACTCCACAGGTTGGTATCTATGTTGGGAAAACAAACTCGAGAAATCAACCTGCATGTTCTTTTCTTCTTTGCATGATCATACCTTGTTTGAGTGGGAGGTTTGGGGAAGTTATCAGAACTGTACTTGGGAACAAAGAAAGCAAATTCTTAATTTTCTAAGTTAAAAACTACAGGTCCAAGGATGAGACAGGAAGAGCTCCATAGACTGTCGTGTCTGCCTGCCCAGTTGTTTCTAGTCCTTGCTATCTCCCTCAGGATGGAGAATTGCCTCCTAAGCTGGGCTAGGAGTGAGAAAAGAATTTGGAAATAAGTGTGGGATGAGTAATTAATCAACTTTGTAATATTTCTTTCTATTTGAGAACCTGGAAATTGTGCATACATGTCCCTTGCCTGCTGGCTCAGGCCCCAGACAGTATGGGCCCGTGTGGTTGCAAATTGTCTGCCACGTGTGGTGCTGGTAGCAAGGGCAATCTTAAGCTGAACATCCTTGACCAAGGATCCTGGAGTCCCATGGTATGTGAAGTGACATTTGGAAATTACTGAGGCACTAGATTGGCCCAGTAATTAGAGGGATCTTAGTTTTTTAGTATTTTTTTGTTTTTTAGTTGGAGTTGGACACAATACCTTTTTATTTATCTATTTATTTATTTTTTCTTTTTTTGAGAGAGAGAGAGAGAGAGAGAATTTTAATATTTATTTTTTAGTTTTCGGCAGACACAACATCTTTGTATGTGGTGCTGAGGATCGAACGCATGCCAGGCGAGCACGTATGCCAGGCGAGCGCGCTACCGCTTAAGCCACATCCCCAGCCCCATCTATTTATTTTTTTTATGTGGTGCTGAGGATGGAAGCCAGCGCCTCACACATGCTAGGCTAGCGCTCTACCACTGAGCCACAACTCCAGCCCCTAAATTCTTGATCTTTATGTTATGAAGTTTCTGTAATAAGTGGCTGATAAGACCCGGATCAATCTGATCCATGAGACAGGCCTGTCTTCTGGTTCCTTCCTCAGGGCTTATCTAATGCATGTATCTTCTAATGCCTCTGAGAGAAGTTACTGACCCCAGTGGTGGAGAAGCAGTCAGGAAAATGGAGTATGTTTATTTGTGATGTGTAATGAGCCCTCACTGAGCACAGTGTCAGGGGATTGCTGTTTATTTATCATAGAAATACCACTGCTATCTGAGGACCTTGTGGAAAGTTCATGGTGTTTTTTGGCTGTTACCACACGATATTGCTGGTTTGCAAGAAAGACAAGTTTACAACTCTTCAAGTTACGCAATAACGAAACCCTAAATTTTCTCTGTAATTTGTAGTTTTATAATTTCAAATGGGGAATTTTGGCATTTGTGATTTTTTTCCTTAGTTTTTTTTCCATTAGTTTTCCACACATACAAATTAAAGAATAAAAATCAGTGGGATGCTCTGCCTAGATGGTAGTGTTCTGTGTCACTACCAATCATATCACTGTTACGTACTTAAAGGTGATTAGTGGGACTGAAGAGCTGAATTTTTAATTAACTGTAATTTTCATTTAAATGTCCACATATAACTAGAGTCAACATAACTGGACAATGCAGAATTAAATTAATCTATTTTCCCTCTAAAGTTTGTGTAGAAAATAATTCATTAAATAGCCATAATTGCAGTAAAATCTGCATAAATTTTATATGACATGGATTCCATTGCCCAGTCAACACTCTCTTTCTCTTGGTTTTATTCATTATAATTTTATGTACTAGTGCTCTGACTCCTCAGTAATCTATGCATTCCTCAAGGCAAGCTGTTGTCAATTATACTATTTGTATCCTTCTTGCATCTTCCACAGAACTCTTTGGCCAAGAGTAGGTATCAAGAAATATTGGTTGAGTCATAATGTGACTATCAAGTAATGGCATCGATTTTATACATGCACATAATAAGTAGTTGATTCTCTTTATTTGAAGATTCTGTTTGTGAATTCATCTGCTTGTGAAAATTTATTTTTAGCCCCCCAAATCAATACCACATTGCTTTTGTGGTCAGCCATAGACGTGTAAGTTGGTGACAAATTTGAGTTGACTACTGTGCACATTCCCAGCTGAGGTCATGCAAGGTGATGCTCTGCTTCCTTCTTTCAGGTCTCATACATAAACAAGTGTCCTTTAAACAGTCTACACGATGTATTTAGAGCTACATTTTTCTCATTTTTGTGTTTTTTGATGATTCGGGTTTTTAAAATAGCTCCAAGCAGAGTGCTAGTGCTTCTAGTGTTCCAAGGCCCAAGAAGGTTGTTTGGTGCCTTATGGAGAAATCACATGTGATAGGTCAGCTTCACTCAGTCATGGGTTACGGCACTGCTGCCTGTGAGTTCAATGTTAATGCATCAATAATATATATTCAGTAAGGGATCCTTAAACAGATACTCATATATATATATATATATAAGGTTAAGTGTATTGATAGGTTAACAAAGCTGTGACAAGAAGCTGGCAGGGGCCTAGCCCCATTTTCTCCTTAGGAGCAATGTTTCACTATTTGCGAAGATTTTTTAGAACATACGTGCCATGAATAATGAGAATCTACAGAATATGCACATGTGTGCATAAGCACACACACGTGCGCACACATACACACACACACACACACACACACACACATACATCCATACACACAAAATCTGGAGTCGGGGGTCTATGAAACAAGTCCATTACTTTACAAGCCCACCATTGTTGTGAGGCTGGGGAAGGACTGAGGCTGCTCGGTGACTGGTAATGACAATGAGGTGAGGGGATCCTAATGGATGACACGTCAGTTCCACTGATCTTGTTTGTATTTTCCTTTCTACTCCTTGGACTCTGGTCAAGTACACTTGTTTTTCTCCCTTTAGGCTCTGTGAGGATGAACAAGTAGAAAGACTGCCTGATAGTGGGTATCAAACGCAGAGGCCTGGCCCATAGTTCAGGTTCATCCCAGTGAGGTTTGGTGAGGTTTATAACAAGGCTCAACATGTCACTTCTCAATGGTATGATTTTTCCCAACACAGTGCCCATTATTTTACACTCCTTTAGGTGGAGGCAGGAGACAGGAGAAATAAAAGACTACTGCAGTCTTCCGTACGTGGGCAGCAAGGGCAGTAGAACTAATTCCCTTGAAATTTTGCCATGTTGCCATTTTTAACATGTCCCCAAACATCTCATCTTTGAAAGGAATGAGAGCAAGAGTCATGACTGCCGTTAGCATGTGTGAATCCTTCAGCCATTGATTAAGATTCTGAGGATCAAAAGGAAGAAATGGAATCTGTAAGAAGCTGGAGGGAAACAGAAGAGGATGAAATAAACATTTTTTCCACCACAGTGTTAAGTAATCTAGTTTAAGCTCAAAAGACATTTGGATAGAAGTTTACTGTTCCTGAAGGAGAACAATTCGTTTTAACCAAATCAAGTCCCAGCCTTAGGTAAACCACACTTTAACACTGCCTTTTATTTGGACAAAGGTAAGCTTTATCAGGCCTGAATAATTCCTAGAAACCAATCCATTCTCTTGATTTCAAGCATTTATACCAGGAAACTGGTACTTTCATCCCACAGCCTCTGTTTATCAGCACCAGTGTGAATGGTCATGTTTACTTGAGCAGCTTTGAAGTGAGCTGATTTCAGCATCCTGGTCTCCAATGTTAGGGGTAGTGAGACGTACCCTTAGCATTCATACGACTGGAAGCTGACAATCTGCTACAATTGTAAGCAGTTGGCATTTTATTCGTATTTACTAACCATATTTTATTTGTAGAGGGCAGATGCATATATCTTTTTTCCTTTGACTTGTTTTTATTTTAGGAAGGCATCTGGTACTTTGTTAAGTGTGCAAATGATTTCTAAAGTTAGTTGTCAAAGTTTGTTAGCAGCCCTCCTTCTCCTTTCTGATTCTTTCTCTCCCCCAACACTTCCAGGGCTGGGTAAGCATGGAGCCAAATATTCAGGTGGAGGATTGTGGGCCATTCAGCAAGACTTTCCTGGGTAGAGGCGAACTTACTATAAAGTGAGAGAAGCCTAAATTTCAGGGCTCACATACACATACTTTTTGCAAGAACACGAAATGCTTCCAAACAATATGTTTAAATATATTTTATGAATATGTATTTCTGTACATTTTGTAATTTCACTTTCTTAAAAAAAATCCACCCCCCCAAAAAAATTCCATAAAACCTGGGTCCATTGCTGCCCCCATGGCTACTTGGGTGATCCTTAGACATATGTGACATTTTTCTTCCTGTAATGGAGGCAACCTCTTCTGGGTTAGGAGGCCGACAGATCCTACATTGTTTCTGTTGCACCATCCTCAGGAGCTGGCATAGGTTGACAGGTCTATCTTGCTCAGATAGGGACCTATAATGGTTATTGATAATGCTTTGTTTTCTCATATATTCGTGTTCTTCAGAGAAGCAGAAACAATAGGTTCAACGTGATTATAGAGGCTTTCAAGTTCAAAATCTGGAACACCCATGTCCCAGTTGAGTCTGACGCCCAGCAGGCTGCTGTGGAACCAGGAAGAGTTGATGTCCCAGTTCAAATGCTGGCAGGAAAAAAGGAGAATTCTCTCATTCCTGGGGGAAAGTCAGCTTTCCCCTTTTTTGTTCTATTTATACCTTTGATAGTAATGGGATAACAACATTATGGAGGGCCATCTGCTTTTCTTAGTCTGCTGATTTTAATATTAACCCCATTATTATTAATATTAATCCCATCCAAAAAATTCTCTCATCAACACTCAGAATAATATTAAGCCAAATAACTGGGCACTTGATGGCTCAGTCAAGTTGGTACATAAAATTAATCATCACGCTCTATTAATTCAATTAACTATTATTTTCATGAGTGACCTGTTTATTCCTGGATTCAGAACCCACTTTGAAAACTATATGTATAAGACAGACATTATTACCCTATAAACATGTATGATTACACTAGTGGAATGACTCTGAACCATGTAAAGCCAGAGGAATGAGAAGCTGTGCTCCATTTGTGAACTGTATGTCAAAATGCATTCTACTATAAAACAAACAAATAAATAAATAATACCCCCCCCAAAAAACAAAACTGTATGTACAATTTGCTGGGCATGGTGGTACATGCCTCTAATCTCAATGACTTGGGAGGCTGAGGCAGGAGGATCACAATTTCAGAGCCAGCCTCAGCAACTTAGTGAGGCACTTAGCAACTACAAGATCTTGTCTCTAAATAAAATATAAAAAATGGGTTGGGGATGTGGATCGTGGTTAAGCACCCCTGGTTCAATCACCAGTACAAAAAAAATCCTGAAAAACTATATGTATAATTCTATTTTAGTAAGCATATGTAAAAGGTTATTGTGTGTCCTATACACAAAAGGTAGAGAATAAAATGGAAAATGTATTGTTTGTGAGGAATTTGTTATCTGTGATTAACCTACTCACTAAAACAGCTCAAAGAATACAAAGTCCAGGCAATGACTGAGTTTAGCTCAATCTGTTGATTCTTAGGAGTCTTCAAGGGAGGCAGAAATCTTCCCAGACGGAGACTTTCAGGAAAACTTCAGGTGAATTTTGAAGGTAAATTAAAAATAAAACAACATAGCAGTTGATTTGATGGACCAGGAAGAAAGGATTTCTTTTGGACATGACCACCATCTGTAGAGATGTGTGAAGCACAGTGTGGAGGCCTGGTGGAGGTGTGGCCAGCTTGGTGGGGCATGGGTTGACAAGAATTCAGTATAGTAACTGAGAGGTATTGTCTCACCACCAAGAATTGATATTTAACTTTTAACTGAAGTCAAGATAATAGCAGCTTTGTAAAATGAGAAGAATTCTTATGGCAGTACTTTTTTTTTTCTCTTTGAAAAAAATTCGGAGAGATCAGCTTTTCTTTATAATGCTTAGCCTCTGTCTTGTTTTTGAGAACTAGGATATATCCCCCCGAGGCTAATTGAAAACTGGCCACATATACAGGTCATCATTTTGACCTTAAAATACTTATGTTATTATGCTTCCTATTGTCTTTAAAACGGTGAATTTCAACATTAGATGGTTAGATGCTCTTTTCTATGTCAGTGGTTTCAAACTCTGCATCAAGAATACCTCTGGGGAGGGAAAGCACCCTGTTTCACAAACTGAGCTTCTGTCTAAAAAACTGAAGAAAGGGAGTTATGATTTCCTAAAAATAAAAACCATGACCATGGATTAAAATTGATAGTTAAAATAATTGATGGGGAAAATAAAATCTGGACTAATAAAACTCAGAAACCAGGTGTGGTGGCCCACATCTGTAATCCCAGTGGCTCAGGAGGCTGAAGCAGGAGGATCTCGAGTTCAAAGCCAACCTCAACAACAGTGAGGCACTAAGCAACTCAGTGAGACCCTGTCTCTAAATAAAATACAAAAAAAAAAGAAAAGAAAGAAAGAAAGAAAGAAGGAAAGAAAGGAATAAATAAATAAATAAATAAATAAATAAATAAATAAATAAATAAAAGAACTGGGGATGTGGTTCAGTGGTTGAGTGCTTCTCTGTTCAATCCCTGGTACCCCCCTGCCAAAACCCAAAATCAGCTCAGAAAAGTATGTGCATGAGTGTGTATTGGGTGGGAAGGTCAGAAAGGAGAGAGAGATGAGATAGAGAGGTCCTTTGATTTACCAAAGCATGGGAATCATGTTGATTATATCTGTAAAGCCCATCTATGAAGCACAATTGTACAATTTAAGAGTGACATAAATACTAAAAAATACACATATTAGCCATAAACCTTGTGGTATTAGAGCAGAAACTTAAGAAATTGACTTTCTTTTCATTTCTCTCTGCAATATGTTCTAGGACATTCAAAGCAAAATTTGGACCTCCTTTTTTATTTAGTCTACAATCTAGTTTTAATTATTAGTTAGTCTAGAAAACACCTTTTTTTGTGGTACTGGTGCAGAGTTTGAAATCACTGACATAAAAAATTTAATTCAGGGGTACTCTACCACTGAGCTAGTCCCCAACCCATTTTTATTTTTTTGATATAGGGTCTTGCGAAGTTGCTCAAGCTGGCCTTCAACTTTTGATTTTCCTGTTCAGCCTCCCAAGTTAAAAAGAATAATTTATCTCATCCTTTCAGATAAATCAGGGGCCTGTCAGAAGCTTGCAAAATAAGACTGTGGTATATTGACAAAGACTCTGGATTGGAAAGTCTTAGCTTTCTACCCAACCCTTATGCTCCTTTTGTTTCCACAATTAAAACTGTGATTTTGACCCATTTCAGATCTTCTGTCTGGCTGAGGCAATTTATCCACCCAAATCCTTATTTCACCTTAATTGGTAGTTGTTGACCATGGATGATTTTGCACACATCTCTGCCCCCAGATACTTGCCAATGTCTGACTGTCTGGAGATAGTTTTGTTGTTATAATAGGGGGGTTGCTATTGGCATCTAGGCAGAAGAGGTAGGAGTGCTGCTAAGCAGCCTGCAACACATGGGAGAATACTTCTAATAAAGTATTGTCTGGCTTCAAGTGGCAATAGTTCAAGGTTGAGAAACTCTGGTCTAAATAGAACAGTCAAGTACCACTTATTCTAGGTGTCTGGTTGGTGATCCATTTTTCAGAGCATTCTTTGTTGTAAATCAATCGATCAATCAATCAATCAGCTGTAATCTTAGCAGAAATATATGCATGCAAGTATTCAGCCTTGTTGCAACCTATAAAAGCTGTGCCTGTTTTAAGGACCCTTAAAATGATCAATAAGGGTCAAATCATTCCAGGCCTTGCAAGTAATGCTAACAGACATCACTTCTACCGGAGAGAGAAAACTGATCAAGGAATTTCTAAATAGTAAGAATAGCATATTCATGGATACCACATTGAAAGCCATTTGCTACTTAACATCTTTTCCTTGATTGACCTTTAGCTGAGATTGTTGACAACTCTAATACTCAGAAAAAAAAAAAAGAAGAAGAAGAAGCCAAAAAAACTATTACTTTGATTCTATGAAAACCAGAGAGCAGTTTACACAAAATTCCACCACCCACTTCAGCATAGAGGACAACACCCACCTGCAAGCCTTGTCCTTACAGGATTCAAGGAGAACCTTTGTGTTTTGCCCTCCCAGCAGCAGGGGATTGAGTGTGTCAATGGGTGCTCAACAAATATTGCTGCAATATAAATTTACAAACGTAAGCAAAGGGATGAGATTTTTATCTTCTGAGCATTTGCCAGTAAGTGCATGATAACAATTAAAAATTATATTTCTTACAACAGAAGAGAGGGGTGTTCAAAACAGCCCACTGGGAACTACTCGTTCAAGTTTGCTTGACCTTGTTTTGACATCATTGTGTACCCTCTTATCTGCCTCATGATGAGAGTTTTTCGTCAGCTCCTGCAAAATATTTTGGCTACAATGAAAGGCGATCTATCTCGCTTTGTTCAACTGGATTGGGAAACAAAACTGGGTAAAAATCTCAGGGACAGAAAGGAAGCCCAAATGGATGGGGGTTTGCTTTTCATCCACGGGTTCTATTCGTATATGTCACCATCTATAAACTGAAAATGCAAGCTGCATTTAATCCTGAAAGACACTGTAAACACGTTTACATGTAAACTGTGCAATTGACACATCTGTTCCTGAATTGTCGCAGTGTACTTTGGAGTGGCTGTTCTGGAGAAGTTATAAAACAGGTGATACCCAGCCTTCCAAGTAGATACAGTATGTGCAGTAGGCTTCATATCCCTTTTGGGCTGGGTCAGAGTGTAATGTGACCTCACTGCAATCGGCAGGCTTGGTGCTGTAAAGGAATGAATGTCCTGGGATCGTGAGTGGTGCTTGGCTAAAGAGGGCTGGCCTAGAATGAAGAAATCCCAGTTGGCCTGAGTAATCACGTAATCAGAGAAACCACAAGGGCAATGGGAGTCTTAGCCACTGGCATGAAAGGCAGAGTCCACTCAGGTAACAAAGGACTCTCTTCCAGGCCTTCAAATAGGGAAGGCCAGTGTGTGAGCCATAAAAATGGGGCCTAACTCTAGGCCTGTTATAATTAGCTCACTGCCTCTTGTGTACTACTCACCCAGGGTGTGTTTCATGTTCTCTCCTCCTTCCTGTTGCCTGACTGTCAGCCAGCTCTGAGCTTAACGCCTTCAGAAAGATGTTGGTTTTCCTAGAGAAGTGTCAGGACACTCTGTGCCTCTGAACAATTAGAAAACAAGGGTGATAAGTGCATCTTTGTTCTTGATCCATGGCTACATTGAAAAGAAAAACCCCAACTTTCCATTTTAATTGTATCCTTGCTTGACTGAAGACCAGTAGCTTTCTGAAAAATTTATTCAGTTCTCAATGAACTTGTTGATAAGCAGAAGCTCAGTGGGACAGAAGTCACTGCTTGCTTTTCCCTTCACTAGACTTCAGTCTGATTCCAGGAGCTTAGGCCTGAGAGTTTTTGCAATGTGCAACATTCTCATATTAGTTTGTGAGTGAGAGAAACTTCTGTAGATGCTTAGAGCTAGAGGAAGGGTCTTGGGGGCCATTGCTATTTTACATTTCCCAAAGACTCAGCTATACAATATTAATTCAGTTTAGCATGGGTTTAAAGGGCTTTCTTGAAACTAGACTCCTAGTGGATTGTGATGCTCTCTGAGGCTTTCCGTGGTTCACTGGCTCCTTGGGGGAAGAAGACTGAGGATCAGGAGGTCGATGATACCTCCTTCTGTGAATTCATGGCTGCAGCAGCTCCCCTCCATCTCACAGTTCTCCTCTGGGATGTATGGCACAAGATCTCGGGGATTTGAGAAATTAACACTACATACTTCTAATATCTTTTTTCTCAAGCTGGGAATGGAGTTAAGATATCTTCCATTCTGCATTCTTTGTAACAGCCATGTTGGGATTTTCTTCCTAATAAGCAATTCAATAGAGCCCCTTTGGGCCAAAGGATGACCTCAATATATTTTAAAGCAAGAGCCACTACTGGTGTGATTTAAACCCATGGAGTTTTTTAGCCTGGGCTGCCATGGGCTTGAAGAGTTTATCATTTCATGAAACTTCTATCAAAAATCCCCTCTAGGTCAGGTCTGAAGGGACAGTCTCTGAGCAGGGGAGGAAATCAGTCAGTAATGAGACTTAGTCCTCAGAGGTTCGCTGTAGACCTGGGTAGATGAACCGGAGGGAAGGAGGGTGGGGCAACAAGCCTGCTGCTCTGTGTCTGGATTGTGCTATGTGGGATGGAAAATGAACTTCAAAGCTTAAAATGTTTCAAAACCCCAAATCAAGCTGAGCCTCCTCCTGCCAGCCCACTGAGAGGCTGTTACCATGAGCAAATGCAGCTGACACTTATTATTTTGAGGGGGTGGGGGGTGAGATCCTGTTGTTTTGCTTCTAAAGTGTAAAGACTTCTTTGTGGTTGTATCATTTCCACAAAAGGCCTCCTAGTGGATGATTCCATTTATATGAAATGTCTCAAACAAGCAAATCCTTAAAGTTGGAAAGGGGACGGGTAGGTGTGAGAGTGGTGGGGGGAGTGACTCCTCTTGGTCTGGGCTTCCTTGGGGAGATGGAAGACAATGGCGATAGATCAGACAGTGACGATGGTTGTATGACATAGCCAAAACAGAATGGCTCACATTAAAGAGGTAAATTTTATGTTATGTGAATTATATCACAAAAAATTACTTAATAGTTGTATTAATAGTTGTAGTTAATATTAACTAAAAAATTAGTTAATAGTTGTAGTCTTAAGACGTAGACCTATGAAAAGTGATTTGGTGACTGGTCCTGCAGTACTCTGGTTGACAGTAATGGCAGCTCATGTTTACTGTGCACCAGCCAGTCTGAGGGTCTGATCTATTCCCCCATTTAACTCTTGCAACATTGCCTGAGGTGGATGATATCATTACCCTCCATTCTACAGGTGAGGAAACTGAGACACAGGCAGGTCCTGCGACTTGTTTGAGGTCACATAGCTGGGGCATGGCAGAGCCAAGGCTCCCTCCGAGGCAGTCTGTGCTGCATGGCTCTAGAGTCTGCAGACCTCAGGGCTATCCCATTTCTGGATTCTAGCAAGGCCACTGCAGGCAGGATCCTGGAAAGGCAATTATGAAAGGTCATGTGTCAGGGTTCAAAGTGGGCCAGTCTGAATGCTGGCATAGGCTTGCTCAGCAGCAAAGGTTATCTGCACAAACAGATTAGCCCTCCTAGCTGGGGTGACAATGTTGCGACTGACGTCAACCCACACTGGCTCCTATTTGTTTAAACTGGGTCCCATTGGTATCCCTCACTGTAAATTGGTCTGAGTGACACATCTCTGCTTTTCCTGGAGATGTCTGGAGGGGTCCCTCCAAGGGGTGGTACAGAAGTAAGAAATAAACTGCAAATTATTTTGCATATTGTTTTAGGTTGTAAAGTCATACTTACTGATCTCTGAATTAAAAAAAAAAAAACGAATCACTTTGAAAAAATTTAAAGTATCCTTCATTTTGAGCCAACAATACATAGAAGCAATAATCTATTTTCTGTTTCATTAAATACTTCAAAATACATAATTTCTAGGGTTCTAATTTATCTTTAGATTGTCTTTTCTGTGCTTTTCCTAAGCAAGGAAATGTAGGCACGTATTTAGCACCTGGAGCTCTAAGCCCCGTGGGCTGGGCTGAGTGGTGAGCCGCAGTGGCTTAGAGCCGTGGGCCACTTGGCAATGTGTGATTTGGGGCAGCTCATTTCGAGTCTTGGTACTTCTGTTTCCTAAGCATAAAATGGGACAATCGCAACATTGACTTCATAGTGTTTTGAAGTTTAAAAGAACAAAGCTTAAACAAGTTAAATCAAGTTAAATATCTTAATTGTCCTTATTTTGAATTCCAGAATGGGACGACATTTTATTCCATGAAATTTGAATAAGTGTTCTGATGGGCTGAGGAAAGAGAATGGTTTTTATAACAGAAGAGGGCTGAAAAGGGCAGGAAAAAACAAACAAACAAACAAAAAATTTGATCATTCCAAAGTTAGTTTCTTGTGATGTGGGTACAAATCAATAAAAATGTAATTGACTGGTTAACATCAGCTTACTTCAGGTTTCTTTTTTGGGTGTAAGCATTAGGCAGAGGGGACCTTCATTATCACGCCAACAGAAACGGTTTTGTTTGGGAAATTTGGCTGTTCTGGCTCCCCCTGGGTTTTGGGGGAATTCAGACAGCACCTTAGTTTTGGTTTGGTGATGTGGAGCTTTAATGTGAGTGATTCCACTGTGATTTTTAACCTGGTCTGTTGGGGCCCAGTGCAGGAGCAGTTCCAAGCAATGGCCTGCTACATGTGTATTTAACAGGCATAGTGAATGCAAAGCACTTAGAGAGGAGCAGGGACCAGGCATGTATTATACCTGCTATTCATATTAATCTGAATATTCAATCTGATACATAAACAATTAAAACAGCAACAGTGAGCCCTACATTTGCACCAACCTAGACCCCTCCAGAGCATCTGTTCATGACCACATTTGATTCTAAGGTGGTTCCCACTTGACCTTTGGGGCAATGGAAAGAAAGAGAGGCATTGATTCAAGTTCATATAAGGAATTAATGTTTTACGTGGTCCCAGAATTCAATTCTCCTTATTTCTTAGACTGGTTTTATTCAATATTGAAAATAATCTTTCTGTATAATTTATTATTAATTTCTTAGAAGTTTTTTTTTTTTAAAGGGAGAATGTGTTTTAGGATTCAATAATATTTCAAAGTCAAACAACAGAGGTACATTTCAGAGACAAAATCTGAGTCTACAAGACCAGCTTTTTGGGAGTTACATGGCTTCTAGCAAAAACCTCTGCTCGGTTGTGTTTATTCATAGACAATAGACTGTGAGAGCTAGCAGGGGTATTGAGCATAGCCAACCATGCCATTTCATTTTATGGATCAGGGAACATTTCCAGAGAGCTGGTATGATTTTATGGAGATTGCTTAGTGAGTTAACATAAAATCTGAGAATCCAACATATTGGTCTAACTCCAAGTCTGGTTTCCTTTCCATTTTAATGAATTCCGTCTCATTGAAACACACTCAGAGTGTTCCCAGTAGTACTGCAACAGGACCAACAACTGCATCCCTTGCAGCCTCTTTGTGCATTCCCCTCCCACCCTTTTGCCTATAAACCATGAGG